CGAGCCCCGCATTGGGCTCCCTGCTCCGCGGGAAGCCTGCTTCTCCCTCTCCCACTCCCCCTGCTTGTGATCCTGCTCTCACTGTGTCTCTCTCTGTCAAATAAATAAATAAAATCTTAAAAAAAAAAAAAAATAGTACAGAGAGTTTTATATACCCTTGATCCAGCTTTCCCTAATGTTAGCATCTTATGTAATCAAAGTGATTATCAAAACAAGGAAATTAACACTAGTGTAATACTGTCAACTAAAATAAATTAATTTTTATTCATAACTTACTAGTTATTCCACTAATGCCTCCTTAAAATTTCCTTGTCACTTGATATCTGTCACATTGTACAGCAGAAAGCTGTTTCTTCACTTTCACTAAATTGAATTCACTGAATTTCATTATACTTAAAATATAATAAACCTCTCCTGAGGTTAGAGAGCATAGATAGAGTGTGGTCAATTTCCATGACTCTGTGACTTTTCCGGGATGTAGAAGGGAGATGGTGGTGGCAACTACTGCGGAATGGACACTGGCAAGGCAGGTATGTCAAAAGGGTATCCCAAGGTGTGAGTGAGAGCATCACTGAAAGGGACATCCATAGGTCTAAGCTGGATAGAAAGTAAAATCAAAAGAATTAAAGGTCAAAGAAAACAAAAAGGGCGCCTGGGTGACTCAATCGGTTAAGCGTCTGCCTTCAGCTCAGGTCATGACCTCAGGGTCCTGGGATGGAGCCCCACATCGGGCTCCCTGCTCAGCGGGGAGTCCGCTTCTCCCCCTCCCTCGGCCCCTCCCCCCTGCTCAACTGCGCTCGTGTTCTCTCTCTCTCTCAAATACAAAAAGAGGCTAAGGAACTTGAAGTCATAATGAGGATAAAAAGCAGAACTATAAGACTGGGCACCAAATGTGATGGGGATATGAACAAAATCTGATCACTTAATTTTTATTTTGATTATTCAGAGGGTAGAATATTCTATGTCATGAACATCCCTCTAACAATGGTGTGCCCAAACAGAAGACAGCTATTCCTTAAAGTGTAATAATAGACGTATTCCCCTGTTAGAAACTCTTAATAATCTCACAGGGTCCACTTGTGCAGGATGAAGGCATGGGCAATGTGAAATAACAGAAGGCTGTGATTAGAGACCATAGAGTTGCAGTGTTATCTATAACCAATAAAGTCACAGACTGAGTCCGTAGTAAGACCAAAAATTGAAACGAACAGGCCTAGTTTCCAAGCCCCAACTTTTAACACGTTATCTAGAATAATTTTTCAATTAAAATTTCACACAAGCATGCACACATACATATACCATTTCTGACTATAAAAGTAACGTGTGTTTGCTATAAAAAATTTAGAAAATACATAAATATCTACCTGCTTTCCCTTGCTATATGTTACAATGGGCTCTTCAATAGCTTAGACTAGTGGTTTTTTCTGTAAAGGATCAGACGGTAAAAGTTCTAGGCTTTACAGGCTTGAACGTGTCTGTTGCAACTACTCAACTTTACCCTCTGCACCTATTGAGATGAATGCTGTGTTTTTCTTCTTTACTCTGCTAATACTGGTTAATTACACTCATTTCTTTTCAAATGCTGAAAAATGGAAGCAGCCATAGACAATACATAAAAAAATGGATGTGGCTGTGTATCAATAACATTTTACTTAAAAGCAGTTAATGGGTTGGATTTGGCGCTACAGCTGTAGCTTGTCAACCTCCACTTTAGACTACAAGTAGGCTTATAACTTAAATATTAGTCAAGTGAAATAAACCAGCATGCTAATTTATATTTATTATGTTTAGTTTATTATGATTCAGGTACTGTGCTAAAAACTATAGACAAAAAGACATTACTTGAGGTTAAAGGTAATGGGGAAATACATGGTATGTTCAAAGTGAGGTAGGAAACAAGAGAAAAAGCAGTTAAGACTGACTGAAAGGAATCATGGAAAGGAATTATGGAAGGCTTAATCAAGAAGAAAGCACTTGACCAGAGTCTTACTGGACTTTGTTTCATTTTTTTAATTAAAGAATTTTATAGCATTTTATGTTTAAACACAAGCCTACCTTGGAATAAGAAAGTGCTATTTGTTGAAACACAGCATCATCTGGTGATTTACTATATGTGGCAAGCCCTTGTTCATCATCATCAAAAGGGTAGTTCACTACCAAAGAACCTGCAAAGGGAAAAGAGGAAAATGTATCATGTTATCTCCTTCAAGACGGATCATCAACATAAAGTACACTTTCACAATACTGCCAGAGACAGGAAACCAATACGATTTTCCAAGGCTAATTTCCTCATTAGAAATGAAGAAGTTGCTAATTTCCTCAATGGAAAACCAACTGGATATGTGAAATATTAAATAGCTATGATGACACTTAAAGGTTGCCTTAACTAGAAAGGTCTTAGGAATTTACCTGAACTTCTAGGTATAATTTATGTCAGAGCCAAAACCAGAAGTACACAGGCTTAATTTAAAGTTTCAGTCTTATAATACATAGGATCAGAAAAAATGAGCAAAATTCGATACTTTTCTAGTAAAATTCAGACATTTATAATATCATGGAATTTTAAAATAAGAAAGGATCTTTGAGGGGTGCCTGGGTGGCTGTCGGTTAAGCAACTGCCTTCAGTTCAGGTCATGATCTCAGGGTCCTGGGATCAAGCACTGCGTCGGGCTCCTTGCTCAGCAAGGAGCCTGCTTTTCCCTCTCCCTCTGCCCCTCCCTGCTGCTTGTGCTCTCTCCCTCTCACTCTCTTACAAATAAATAAAATCTTAAAAATAAATAAATAAATAAAATTAAAAAAAAAGAAAGGATCCTTTAAGTTCAATTAATCCATCCTCTTCATTTTGCAGATGTGGAGTCTAAAACAGAGAGGTTAAATGACTAATGTATGGAGAGCAGAGCCGGCCCTGACCTACACTCAGTAAAAAATGCTAAAAATTTCCCTTATGCTCACATTAGAAATTAGTCAACTGGAGTTGCGTTGTATGATTTTTCATGACTTAAGATAAAGGAAGTGATACTTTAAAACATATGTAAATGATATCAAGTCCCTTCATGCTCCCCATAGGGCATAAAGAAGTTAGGGTGTTTCTCAGGTAAGAGCCCTGAGCTACACATGCCTACTCTCCTACCACAAGATGAAATCCCTTATTTTCCTATTAGTCACATTGTTTTCATTTGTTCATCTGTCCACGTATCCTACCTACCACTACTAAGCTACACATCTTTGTACTTTTTATCATTCCACTTCATGGGAATGGAAGTGAAAGAACATATTCAATTTGAATTCAGATGAAGTAATCCTGTGGTAACAAATACCAGCCAACATTTATACAGAGAAAAACATTCTTTAAGAAGCAAGTATGAAGAACTAAGTTCATTCTATTCCCCAAAATAGTTCTAACAAGAACAAGTATACTTCAATAACTCTTCTTAGACTAATTTAATGTCTCAAAAAAATTTAATTTCACCCCAGAACTATGACCCATATCTAAAAATTCGAACAGAAAAAAGTCAACATCAACGTCTATTCAATACTGTTTTTCAAACAGCTAATTTTCTAAGGACAGGAAAAAAAAGGTCATAAGAGACATTTCTGGGGCGCCTGGGTGGCTCAGTCATTAAGCGTCTGCCTTCGTCTCAGGTCATGATCCCAGGGTCCTGGGATCGAGCCCCACATCGGGCCCCACATCCGGCTCCCTGCTCCACGGGAAGCCTGCTTCTCCCTCTCCCTCTCCCCCTGCTTGTGTTCCCTCTCACTGTGCCTCTCTCTGTCAAATAAATAAAACCTTTAAAAAAAAGAGAGAGACATTTCTATGAAACAGTCTATTTAAAAAAAATAATTAGTATCAACCTAAAAAGCAGGAACAATAAAGGAAAAAAACACATAAATTTGACTTCATCAAAATGAAAAACTTCTGTGTGTCAAGGACATTATTAAGAAAGTTAAAATTAAAAAAAAGTTAAAATACAACCTATAGAACAGAGAACAGGAGAAAATATTTCAAAATCAGCAATCTGATAAGGGTCTAGAATCCAGACTATATAAAGAACTCTTACAGCTCAACGAAAAGACAAAAAAAATTTTTAATTGGCGAAAGACTTGAACGGATATTTCTCCCAAGCAGATAACACAAATGGCCAAGTACAAGAAAAGATGCTCATTATTAGTCATCAGAGAAATGCAAATCAAAGCTACAATGAAATACCATTCTTTACCCACTAAAATGACTGTAATATAAAAATAGAAACTAACAAGTGTTGATGAGGATGTAGAAAAACTGGAACCAGGGACACCTGGGTGGCTCAGTCAGTTAAGCATCTGCCTTAGGCTCAGGTCATGATTCCAGGGTCCTGGGATCAAGTCCCGCATTGGGCTCCTGGCTCAGCAGGGAGCCTGCTTCTCCCTCTGCCTGCTACTCCCCCTGCTTGTGCTCTCTCTCTCTGACAAATATATAAATAAATAAAATCTGTCCTATGGTGAGCGCTGTGAATTGTGTAAGACTGTTGAATCACAGACCTGTACCTCTGAAGCAAATAATACATTATATGCTAAAAAAAAAAGAAGATAGCAGAAAGGGAAAAATGAAGGGAGGTAAATCGGAGGGGAAAACAAACCATGAAAGACTATGGACTCTGAGAAACAAACAGAGGGTTCTAAAGGAGGGGGGGGGTGGGGGGATGGGTTAGCCTGGTGATGGGTATTAAAGAGGGCACATATTGAATGGAGCACTGGGTGTTATATGTAAACAATGAATAATGGAACACTACATCAAAAAGTAATGATGTGGGGGTGGAGCAAGATGGCGGAGGAGCAGGAGACCTGGATTTCGTCTCCTCTCAGGAATTCAGCTGGATAGGGATCAAACCAATCTGAACACCTACGAACTCAACAGGAGATCGAAGAAAAGAAGAGCAACAACTCTCTGAACAGAAAAGTGACCACTTTCTGGAAGGTAGGACGTGCGGAGAAGTGAATCTGAG